GTGTGTGTGTGTGTGTGTGTGTGTGAGGGTGTTTAAGTGCCACATGTGTCTGTGGTGCAGGGTGACTCTAGGAGCAAGTACAAAAGCCTTCTGGCAGAATGATGTGATGTGGGAACCGAGGTCTCCTCATCTGCCCTGTAACAGATCACACACGCACACTCACACAAACACAACCGCTGTGTCTCTCTCAGCTGAGATGTCATTCCAATTCAGCGCTGTCACACATCATGTTTATTCATGCGTGCCGCTACAGTATTAGTGCACACACGTACACAAACGCACACATATCCATACAGAAGGCAGAGCTTACTTTGGCTATCAGTAGTTTATTGTCATACCTAATCTGTACACTTGGCATTATGTATCTATAATCCTCAATGGGCCTTGTTAAACTAGAAGTGAGATGGAGTGTGTAATCTGGGGTTGTGTGGTGGTGTGTGTGCAGTGGACATTTGTGTGGTCGCTGCGATGCATTTGTGGTATTATAAAGGCAATTATTGCTTTGATTTGGTATTGATTCTTGACGACAGGGGGCAGATGTGTGTCCGATAGCGGGGCAAAAAAGGGACAAATAAAGAGATGTGAGCAGACGCGTTGTTTTGTGAGGTTTTGGCTCTTGGAGCTCGGAGCAAGGGGCACAAACCAACACCACAGCCTCAGCAAACACACTGCTCACCCCAACATTGTGTTCTGTTCAAAAGGAGCAGATGGCCTCATATGTATATGAGACCATGTTTGACTGGGAGGGAGAAAACTAGACTGATATGAAATCCCAATTAGAAGTAAAACAGAGAAGAACAAACTAGGGGATGGGTTTGATGGCTGGATAGAAGCTGAGGTTTCCTCAAACAGTCCACGCTTCCTATCAGTTCTCACGTCCCAGCCAGAGGATTACTGGAGGAAAAGTTTATCAGCAGAATGATAAAATTAGCATGCACACCCATCTCTCTACCCCCACCCCCTGCTCTCCCTCATTTTCTCCTCTCTCCCGCCCTCTTCCCGTACTCTCGCTCATCCCATGCCATGCAGCACCCCTACCCCCACTCGTCCATCTCCCCCTTGCCCCGACTCTCCCTTCTGCCCCCCCTCCTATCTTTCTATCTAGCTGCTGTGCAATGAGCCTTTCTTTCTGTCACATTAATTTCACCCCTCACCCCCACCCCCCGCCAAAAAAAAAAAAATGGGTTGGGGGGTTAAAATTTCCCCTGACGCTTCATAATATCATCAGTTGGGGCAGAGTTAAGAGTTGCATTTGGAGCGTTTTTCCTCTCTCTTTACTGAGAAGAGTTTTATAATTAACTGACAGCCATCTCACAAGGGCATTGGCTTGTTTCTGTGTTAAATATGGAGATGACAGTTTTATGAGGTAAAATATTCATCAGTTGGAGGGGGGCTCTTCTGCATGATTACAGTCTAAATTATGGCATTTGATAGGCTACCAAAGTAATGTTTCACTTTGGTCGAAAATTTTCGTTTTCTAGAACACGTACCTCTGTATGGCTTAATGAGCCATTGGTTTCACATTAGCATGCAGGCTTTGTCACATTTTTGGACTTAACTAAATTTGCAAGTCAGAAAGTGAACCGCATACTGCCAGAATTTACAGTTCTGAGGGGCTCAAATGATGTGAAGCAGATATTGACACTGCTGTATTATGTGAAGAACAAATGTAAATACGAACACCTCTGCATTTCCATATTCAGACGTGTTTTTCTTGTGTCCCAGGATGGTTCATTTTCTTGGGTAGCCAGAAACAAGAGAGTTTTTGTTTTTTTTTGCCCCGTGTCACATGAGCTCCACCGAGAGTCATTTGAAACAGATGGAAAAGATGATTGCACTACTGCTGCAGAGTTCGTTTTTTTTTTTGTTTTTTTTTTTAACTGGGACTCATTCTCTGGTTCAGGATTGTTAGAAATACAAGACACAACTCTATGGGGTGTTGAAGCTCATCAGCATTCAAGAAATCTGCAAAGCTGGCCCTCCGCTCTTCATCGGAAGGGAGAACAAATGTGAGCACAGGTTAAGATGACGTCTGTGTCCATGAAGGTGTGCTGTGAAAGGGATTATAGCACCAAGGTCACTGGTTTAAAAAAAAAAAAAAAAAAGAAAGGAAAGACACCACTGTGGGACAAACACAGTGATGTGTGCTCTTTGATCACCAGGCTCTGTGCATGCGGAAACGCGCTCTGTTTGTATGTGTGAGCATGCATGTGTGTGCGAACGTGTGTGTCCATATTGTGTTTGAGTGTGTGCATTGTGTTTGTGTGTGTGTGAGTGTGTGCGCTTGCGCATGTGCAACGGGCTTGTTTGATGTGGTGGTTCTGGTACATTTCAAAGGCGAGCTCTGATGAGAATTCTTCAGAACAGCAGTGTAAGGGAGGGGGTTATAGCCAGGAGGGGTGGGGTTTCAGCGCTGATTGGCATTCATAGCAGAGAGGCTGGAGTGCTGCTAAAAAAGAAATTAGGCTTTAACTAAGCTGCACCATTCAGCTGTTTAACTAAGCTGCTGCACAGTTCAGCTGTTTGAAATTCTGTCTTCTCAGGCCTTCTATTAATAAATGCATAATTGATTAAGGGGAGCATACGTGCCTGAACACACTTCGCTCTGACACAAACACATACATGCTCAGATACGTCTTTTCACAAGCACACACACACACACGAAAAAACCCCTTCTGTCCCTCTACATGGCATCACTATCGTTGTGTCTCCGTATTACTCTGTGACATCTCCAGTCCTTAACAAGTTATCACTTTTTCTTTTCTTCTTAAATTTCTTTTCACCCTATTAACTGTGTCTCCATGGCTCATGTCTTCTCGCCTATCGGTCTCCCACTCTGACCCACCACCTTAACTATCTCTATTTTCTCTGCTTCTGTCGCTGGCCCCCAGGTAGAGTATAATTCCTATCTTCCCAGGGGGATTGTGAATGGATACCCTCTACACAAATGATTATCAACTATCTTTGAGTGCTTGCACTTTTTGACAGACAGCACACCCGTTGGGCACACACTCACAAACAGAGACACACTCCTTCCAGGGGGTCTATCTTTGTGCCGATATATTTATTTAATTTCTAACTGTACCAGCTCCTATTGGGTATTTTGGTGATACACCAGGAGCAGCAGCAGAAGAAGAACTAGTTTTATTGGTATTTCAGCTCCTCCAAGCAGTTTTGCAGTGCAGAATTACTTTCTTATAGCCCCTTCCAAAACATTATTATTAGTTGTATTATTATAGGTGGTGAAGGGTTGCCTGCAAAAGCAGTAGTGGTCACAGTTGCTAGCAGTATGGGGAACGTGTATGATAATACCAGACTCTTCAAGTTAAATGAAGCCAATGAAGTAAAATTTAACTGCTTTTTGACAAGCTGTGGTTTGGCTCTCTATGATTTCAAATAAAATAGTCTTTTACTGCCCCCCAGGACTGTCAGTACGTCCAGAGATTTAAACCTCGAATTAAACATCACCTGCCCTCAGCTTGTGCCTCTCAAACTCCTGTACAAAAATAGTTTCCTCACAGGAGCAGCTATTCTGGGATTCTCCACTCCATTACCAAACTGTCTGTATCACATGGTGCGGAGAGTGTTGCTTTTAAAGGGGATAAGAAATGCCCGTGTGATTGGTCGTTACATTTACCAACCCCAAATGCACGGATAATGTATGCTAATGGATTCGCCTTAATCCAACCCTGTTTCCGGGTGGACCCCAGGTGCAAGTCCACCTGCTGTCCAGCAGTAAAAGCTCTGTGCGCCCACTGCACACTGCCCTCTGGAAGACTGTTACCTCATTTTGTATTTTGACAAACAAAATAATACTTTAAGAGAAAAGGGGAAAAGCAATGCAAAGTTTGCACACAAATTTCTTGCTTTCATTTGATAAAATCCCTGGAGCTTTAGGAGCGCAAACCCAGGCTTATTTTTGGTCTTTGAGGATGTTCTATATCTTAGCCAAGCACCCCTTCATTTCTCTTATTGGACACCTGAGGAAGCCTGGTTTCAAAAGCAACAAAGCTGTCTTTTAGTTAAGCACTTTGACCAGCAAGACCTGGATGTCTGAGAATCTATACAATTAGAGATAGAATGCTTTCTGAGTCATTCACACTAACAGCCTGACATCTCCTTTTGCTCTTAGTTGAAAAAATATCTGTTGTTTTTCTGATAAATAAGAAATATCCCAAAGGAGAACAAGATGGACCAACATTAATTAAGTTTTATTCATTTATAGAGCTGAACAAATATTTTACACCAAAAAAAACTATTCCAGTTCCTTAAAGCCACATTAAGTCATTAGGAATGCTGCACAATAAGACGTTTGCCATGGTTTTTCTTCAGCGAACTACAAGAGACTTTGTATTCTCCTCTCACAGTATCTCTTTGTGGGATTTGAAATGTCTTCCCTCATCCTGCTCATCCCTTATCTCACTTTATCTTACCTTTGCTTTCCTCTCCCACTACCCCCTCCCCTCCAGATGAGCCCGGCCAGTTAAAGATCTACCTTCCGAAGAAGCTGCTTGAGTGTCTACCCAAATGTTCCTCTCTGCCCAAGGAGCGCCATCGATGGAACACCAATGAGGTGAGAGTGAGACGCACTCAAGAGGGGAATATCCATGGCAGTGAGGCGAGAAGTGTTTCCTTTTTTGTTTGCTGATGACTCATCTCTAGATAATGCCACATTTAGATATGTAGAGGAGGTAAACAAATTCAATGATGGCTTTTCAGTATGTGTTCTTAAAACTGTGACATGAAGCGATACAAGGGAGGAAAAAAAGCAACTCAAACCCACCCACATGCTTTAGATTTTACTTTGTAATCCGAACAACTTCCAGGTTCAATAACAGTTGTAGGGGCTGAAGGGGCTGATTAAAACGGGACTAGAGGCCCAAAAACATGTTAACTGCTGGGTGTTGTTGTTAGGATATAAATTTTTTCTTTTGGTCCAAACCATAAATTGCTTATAAAGACAGACAAATCAACATCACTCATTGGTTTGTGAACTGTGAAGCTACAAGGTTGACCTTTGGCCAATTATTGCCATGTTTGGCTCTGACATGGGTACATATTGACCCGTTTTTGGCTCTCGAAATACTATATTTAGACCGGAGGGGATAAATCCCTTTTCTATGCAGTCTGTGGTCGAGACCTTCCAATCTGTCCACCCTATCAAGTTGACTGATTTCTTTTGGCACTGAAACATGAAACAGCAGTTTTTTTGTACAAACACAAGCAATCTAATGAAAAGAGCCGGAAAAATAACCATTAGCCAATAAGTAGAATAGCCAAGTCTAACACCATTGTCAAAGATACCAAGTTACACAATGTGACAGGGATGTGCTTTTTGGCAATTCTTGTTCATCAATCTTTTCAAACAAATATGTCTTAATTTATGTTCTTAGCAGATGCTTTTATCCAAAGCAAGCAACAAATATCAAGTTACAGACACATTGGGGTTCAGTGTCTTGTCGAAGGACAACACGTATCCCTGAATCGAACCACCAATCTTTGCATTTGCAGCTGACTTATTTTCAGTGCCCATATACACATCTGTCTGCATATAAACATACTTATGTTGAAAAGCTTTCATTTAGACACTTACGGTACTGGTTGGGGGAATTTGGAATTTGGATTTCCTCCCCTGCGAATCAATAACAGGGTAGATGATACAAGACTTAAGCAAGAAACAGTTGGACTGCAAGTTGAGAAATCTACCTGAATTCCGGCAGATTTAACAACTGGCTGCATAGTTAACAAAGTTGCTACGCAACCACAGAAAGCTGTTACCTTATGTCTTTTGTTGAAAACTATACTTCAGTTGTAATGTGTATATCTGTTCTATGTATCAGGTATCATAAACATATGCGTTGACAGATGACATTTTGGTAGTGTGTAAAATAGAAAGGAAGGGATCGTGGACCTAATCCCCCTCTAGGCCCCCCTTACTGGTGTTATGGCGCTTCTTGTTCCCTCTCCCCCTAACCCAAACATGATCAAGGCAGACAGGCACCCTCTTCCCGATTCTGACTGTCTACTTATTTAGTTAAGAATTGAAGACTGAATCTAACAGAATCTTCAATGTGTTCTACTGGTTTGCTGATCTGTAGACAGAACTGAGAGTACACAACAATTTTTTGCCTTTGGAAAGTCAGGTATTGCGTTGTAAGTCACTAGAATTGAACAGTACATCGGCGTTCATCACAACAAAATGGTTTTCTATGGTTAAAATAAATAAATGAATGAAAACCTGAATAAAATCATTTATAAACACCAATGTATTATTAATAACAGACCGCTGAGTAGTGGTTTTCAGGGAAATTGGAATATTTGCTACATACTTTGGTTTCCATTGTGAATAAAATATCAGTTTATGTGATTTTGAAGTCTGTGCATTCCATTGTCTTCATTTTACATAACGTGACAAGCTTTTTCTCATGGTTATCAGGTTATGTTCGTATCAAATAGGTTTTTTTGCTTTTAAACAGTTTTTTTCTTCCAAAATAACATGACTACTACTCATTAATTTCAGGCTGAGACAGCCCTGTCCTGGGGCAAGGTTAACATCGTGTTTACAGCATGAACAGTTTACTGAGGATCTGCTCCTAATCATGCAATCCAGCATAAAATTGGGCCATGTAAGCTTGAGACAATTCTTTACTCTTGGCCAAAGATGACCCACAGCTAAACTTCCGGGGTGTGAAAAGCTTTTCAGACTTGCATGTGCGAGACTTAAGCTGCTAGCTTAGGAAAAGGTTTGATGAGTGGAAATGGATGTCAGATTTTATCGTCAATAGCTTCTTGTTTATTCATGGTACAGCTCTCCACTGGTAGTTTGCTCCATCCATTGTGATGTGGTTGGCCTCTGCTGAGACATTTTCTCCATGTGCAGGCTGTGCACTCCATTATGGATGTGTGTTTGTGTGTTTGTGTTATTGATTACCAAGCCCAGCATTATTATGCAATGCAAAGCTGATTTGGCCGGTGGTTTTTCTCTCAGGAAAGTCATTAAATTTTTCATGCAATCCATCTCAATGAAGGTCATACTGGGAGTTAAGCACAGTGCCTTCTGAAGAGTATATTCACATGAATAGGCAGTGTCTGAGTTTTCCTGAGTGTGACTTTGCAATTCAGAGCAATGTGACCACAGCTGGTTAGGGACCTCTACACATCAGTCTAACCAAGAGCAACGGTGTCCAAGGCTCAAGGAAGGGATCAGAGAACTTTATTGCTTCCTCTTTTTCCCTCCTCAACCCCTCCCTTTCTTCACCAGTCTCTTCTACTTCCTCAACTACCTACCGTCTAACCATCTACTCCTCTCTGTATTTCTCGGTCTTCACACCCCCACCACAAACCCACATTCACCACACACTCTTCAACATTGCTCTTTCTCTGATGAGGAGGTACAGACTCAGTTCAGGGGGAGGTTGGGTGTCCCACAGCGGATTCCTTCAAAGCTCCTCTTCCAACCAGGCATAAGGTTTTCTGCATACTTAAACACTCAATTGTGTCTGCTGTTTCTATTTTTCGGTACTTTCTTCATGGGAGACATGCGTATACATGCTGTGTATGTAGCATTTTTATACCTTTGAGTCTGTGTATAACTTCTTGCTGCTGCATATGAATATCTTTGTAATGATCTACACTATTCTATATTATTTAGGTAATTTGATATGTACCCACCATAAAGCAAGTGTTATTTAAAAAAAGAAGATATTTATTGATTTTTAAACTGTCTATATTATAGACAATGTAAGAAAAAGATTAATTTTCATCACCAGCATAGAAAGAAAACGTAGCGTGACTTTTTAAAGCATTTCCTCATATTTTCACCATCCTTTAAGATTCTCAAGCAAGAGAATTTTGAAGTTGGTGCATCCAAACCAATCTGCTGTGAAGCCAACTGTCATACTTGAAGCATTCAATTTATTTACACTGTCACATTTTCTGTGTTTGTGCGCATTTGTGTGTGTGTGTGAGCACCTGGATTAACCTCTAATATAATAGAATACCAAGTGTTTTGAAACCTCCAGGGATTTTGGTGAAACACGTATGCATATGTACGCGTCATTGGATTTATATGAGTTTGTGTAAATCCCTTCCAAGAGTCATATACTAATACAATTAATCTTAGTTCTGTGGGTGTATTAGACAGTAGAAATGAGAATTAACAACTCAGATGCTATCATTTTGTGTTTGGATGAGAATGCTGCAGATTAAGTCAAAATCAATAATAGCGATTCCTTTTTTGATTGCCCCATTGGATAAAGTTTTTCATGGCACATGCATATTTGTGTAAAAGTGTGCGCGTGCATATGTGTGTGTGTGTGTGTGTGTGATTACATATGATCTTCTGATCTCTGTTTTGTCACGCATGGTCTCCCATGACTCTTTGGTCTCCCACAAACACTGAGCTGTGACCCCATACATATTTTGTCCCATTCACTCCTCCTCATTCCCTCTGCTCTCTCTTCTTCCCCTTCTTTTCCCTCTCCCTCTCTCTTTTGTGTATCTACTGATGTGTGAAATTATTCTGGGATGGAGGGATGGATTCCTCCCTGAAGGGCTGAGTGGAGGCGTGAGCCTTTTGTTCAATAATAGATTGGGGGGTGTATGTGTATCTGTCCATGGTAATAGACATTCGACAAGTTTCAGATAACAAACCACACTCAGGTGGATAGACTGATGGTGGCGCCTGTGCTTTGCACCCATCTGGAATTACTTGTTTGGTTTAAGGAAGACTCCTCAAAGCTCAAAAATAAGAAAGCTATCAAACATGCAGTTTAGGGAGTCAGGCTCATGAAAATATATGGTCTCTCTCGTGGTGACCCATAACATTATGACTCCTTCTTGAAGCTTAGATTCATACAATGAAACATGCAAACAGACACTGCGTGAATGTGCATAGCACTGTACTGTGTAGTTCAGCGTGCATTTTTAAAGGGCTTCGACTTCAGAGCATCTTCTGATGTGATTCAGATGGTGCAGCTCTGAAATGGGGTAGCATTGTCTTCAGTGGAGCACACAGACGCCTGTTGTCTGCTTGTGGCTCTGCTCCACATGTTGCTCGGCTTTATGGGATGGAAACAAATGTTGGAAACAGGTGTTATGATATTTGCCATTAACAGTGTCACATTCCAGTGCTGGCTCTCAACATGTTTGCTGACACATGATGTGAAGGCAGGCTAGTTTGCAGCTAAGACTTAGCCATGTCTAATTGTTCTCAATTTGAACAGAGGTCATATATGCTTTTTTATGCAATTGACTTTCTTTTGTGTGTTTGTTTAGTGTGTGGATGTATCAAGGTCAGTGTTGCCTTCCTAACACTTGTGCAACCTGTGTGTATTTGCGGTCATAGTATAATAGATATTTCAAATGTGACGCAAAACAACCTTTCATGATTTTGCGATAAACCGCAATTAATATCGGAGTCGTAACAATTGTTATGTCTGCTTGAGATTCCATGAAAATGTACAGAATCATTTGGCAATGGACAAAAGTAAATAAATGTATTAAGCGAGTCAGGAAGCCTCTTGCAATTACTTCCATAGAATCTTGTGGGAGCTACAATTCAGAGACTAAACA